ACAACCGCCAAGTATATCGATCGCTCGGAGTTTGCCCAGTCACTAACTATTATTTAATTCTTTATTGCGCATAAATTATACTGAAACGTGGAGTGCCTCTAAGTAAGGTTGATGTCCGAAACGCGTGAACTGTACAAACGACTTACAAAATGACAAGTGCCCGCCTTTCGCGGTACGCGCGACCGGTACGCATCGTGCTCGAATAATTGTACTCCTATCATCTAATAAATTTTTGTTACCAGCATTCGCATTGTACGTTCATTGGTACTAACATGGTCCTTCGAGCCGGATAGGGTGCACGTTCCGAAGCACGCGGTTGCGGTCGGCGAGGAGCCGCCGGTCTTAGCGCGCGCCGAAGTAACAAGGGTGTGCATTAAAAACGAGTGAACATTTAGTGCGTTCGGCAGACATTATAAACTTTCAAGAAGCTTCGAGAGCCTTCGAGAAACAGTCGTTAACCGAGAGACGTTCGGTCGACCTCGCTGAGCTCCGATGAGTGTCAGTTCGAGTTCACGTGATCGTGTTTTCACCTCATCCTTTCCTCTTTCTGGCCCTCGTCGGGACAGAAGACAAGTATAATAGTAAGTTTGTCGTGCACGTACAACGAGGAAGATGAGCGTCGAAAATCTCCGCAAGCAAAGAAGCGGGTTAAAGGGAAAAATAACGAACATAAGAAACTTCATCATCAAGGCTGAGAAAGATGCGGAGAACGTGCTACCGGGAGAAATTACGGCCCGCCTTCAAGCGTTGGAGGACACGCATTTGAAATTCCAGGCTGTAGCGCAGAACCTCCTATTGCTGCTACCTGAGGAGGAATACCAGCAAAGAGATGAAGTGGAGGAAAGCGAGTTTGATACTTTTCGACCAAAGCCGCTCTGCTGCAGTTGGCGGAAAGGATCAAACCGCCGTCCACAGGCCCTTCTACAAGTGCATCGACTTCAAGCAATGAGCAGCAGACAACGTTGATTCAGAGAATGGCCGAGCGGTCGGTTGAAAGCGACGGCAGTGGGTTGGCACGAATAATAGAACAACAAAATTAATTACTAGAAAGATTAAGTACGCGGTCTAACACGCCCGCACGAGAACCTCACGTAAAATTGCCAGTAATCCAGTTGCCGTCGTTTGACGGAAATATGGAAGAGTGGAAGCGATACTCCGACACATTTAAAACGTTGATACACGACAGCGATCTGACTAATGTGCAGAAGCATCAATATTTGGTTGGTTCGTTGAGCGGCCAAGCCGCTAAAATAATCGAGTCGATAGACATTTCCGAGAACAATTACGCCATCGCTTGGGACTTGTTGAAGAAAAGATACGATGACGAGCGAGGCATTCGGAAGCGGCACATACATTGTTTGTTCGAGCTACCATTGGTGAAACGAGAATCAGCCAGTGCGATCCAAGATTTAGTGGATCATATTCAAAAACATTTGCGAGTTTTACAAGCAATGGGACTCCCTACCGAGTCATGGGGAGATCTAATTATTTATTTGATCGAGAAGAATTTGGACAACGCGACAAGAAGACGTTGGGAGGAGCACATCGAGCAAAGGGACGGTGTGACGACAAGCGTGATGATCGAGTTTTTGCAGCGGCAATGTCAGCTGTTGCGGCGAGCGACTTCGGACAGCAAAAGCGTCAACAAGGCAAAGGACGACATTCGCGAGAAGGACAAAACGAGTAAGCAGCGATCGTTGAATTCAAAGGCACAAGGCAAAACGACACTGTCAACAATCACACAGGAGCGACGGTGTTACCTGTGCCAAGGCCAGCACCTTATTTATTCGTGCAAACAATTTCTGGGCTTATCCGTTGAGGATAGAATCCGGGAAATTAAGCGATTGAGACTTTGTCTCAATTGTCTCAGAAATGATCACTTTTCGAGAGATTGCAGGTCAGGTTCATGTCGAGAATGTGGTGAGCGGCACAACACGCTATGCAACATCGTGAAGCGGGCATCCTGTTCGTCAGCGGATTCGGCAGGTGGTTCGGCGGACCGTTCGAGGGAGTCATCCGGGACCACGCTGTGCTCTGTGGCGGACACGGAGATGGGAGCATCAACCAGTAACAACGAGTCATCGGGGAACATGTCGGTTCAACACGCCCGAGGCGAGCGTAAGCAAATACTGATGTCAACGGCTATTGTAAATATCGAATCAAATAATAATGATAATCAATTGCGTGTATTATTGGATAGTGCGAGCGAAGTCAACTTTATTACTTTAGCAGCGTGTAATAGATTGAACATAAAATTAGAAAGCGTATGCGAATCCATAAACGGTCTAAATAATATGAGTTGCGCGATAAAATACGGTTGTCAAATTTCGATGAAATCGCGAATGTCGAAGTTCGAGTTGAGCCTTTGTTGTTTGGTTGTCCCGAAAATAACCAAAAATTTGCCTTCGTTTTCCATTAAGATATCAAAATTGTCGATTCCAGAAAATCTAAAATTGGCAGACCCGTTCTTTTACAATCCAGGTCATATTGACGTGCTCATAGGCGGAGAATTCTTCCTTCAATTGTTGGAAGCCGGTAAGAACTCGGGAATAATTTGCCGGCATTACAAAACACTGTGTATTAAATTCGTATGTATTTGACCGGAAATGAATGTCCGGGAAAGAATCTACCATATGAAATCGTTTGTATTTCGTATGAAGACTTTTGAAGTGCAATTGAAAAGGTTTGTGAGTCATTCGTTTAATTGTAATTAATTAATTATTTTTACACCATGCATTTAGCCGAAATAGATAAATTAATAAAAGTTTTTATACGGAATCGTTTGTATTTCGTATGAAGAGTTATGAAGTGTGATTAAAAAGGTTTGTGAGTCACCCAGATAATTTTAATTAAATATTTATAAACTCAGTAATTAGCCGAAATATAGATTTTTAGTTATTCATGTTAAAAGAAGAAGGCGCTAGTGTTCCCGAAGGTCCGTCTGCAATCAGAATTAATATAAACGTTTTAAACATTATTTTATAGTGAAATAAATAAATATACAGACCAAAATAAGCCTGTAATTATAAGCGATAGTTGCTAATTAAGTTTGTGACTCATATAATTCCATCTTGCAGAGGACTAACTTTTAAATTGAGCGCTTTTAAATGTATTATTATTATTCTACCGATATCGATATATTTATTAGTAATTTAATATTAAAGCTTGACAGAGTGACGTAAACTAATTCGCTCATAGTATAACAAAGTATTATGCGTTTAAATTCTCGAAAGCTAGCTTCTTTACTATATGCTCTCTCTTTATGTCGATCGATTCGGATAAAAATCTTTCTTTCTCTCGCGATATTCCTAGAGTAAACCTGTACAAAAACTCAACGAAAGTGACGATATTTTTCACGGATCTGGTTCGAGTCTCGGCTCTTGGGGAAGGTACGCATGTAGAAAGAGTACGCCAACACAGTTTATCCTGCTAAATGGTTATCAATTATAAGTTCTTTATTGTTTACACATAAATTATTAGTTATTTGTGCAAGCCATGCTGGAAGATGAAAATTCACGGGTGCGGAGTTGACGCACTCGCCTTCGGCTCGTGCGTACACTCCGCACCCGTGATTTTTCATCTTCCAGCACGGCTTGCATACCCTATTTTATGTTGCAAGTGCGTGGAAAGTGGTAGCGTGTAGCGTGCGTAATAGGCCACTTTCCATGCACGTGTGACATAAAGAATATTTAAACGTTTCTTTTTTTTCGATGTCCTGTGAAATTGTACAATAGAGTTACAAATAAAGATAAAGCCACACTTCACGTATAATCTGATTCAGTCTTTGCTAATGTTACATAATAACGCGTAAACGTAGTAATCATTTGGTAAATTAATCGATATTTAGTAAATCCGGCATCATGTGAGCTATCACCTTGAATTCAGCAT